CTGGGACAGATGAACTTGATATTCATACCTGAGACTGTCTGTTCGTAGAGATTCTTCTTCCTTTGAGAACATCATTCTCTAGTTCCATCCAGACCTGTACATGATTGTATGAAGCCCCCTCACTATCTTTGGGTGAATATTCCTGTGAAGAAACACAATGACCAGTATGGGATGGTAGTGCATGCACTTGGGAGGCAGAAGCAGGTGGATCTCTGTGGGTTCAAGGCCAGGTATACCAAACAATCCTACAGGCCAGGCAGTTATAGACAGATCAAATTGAACTATAAAGGATATGTTAAACAAACAGAAAGGGATGGAAAATATCCTCAGAAGTAGATTGCATAATGCTTTATTAACCTTGAATTTTCTTAACACTAATGAGAAAGGAACAACAGCAAAATAGAGACACTGGATAATAGAAAAAAAAACTTCCGAATTAGATCAGCCAGTGTATTTCAAGGATGTGTTGGCCTCAGAATAGAAACCAGGAGATATATGACACTGGGGAAGAGGTTTTGCTCTTGTTTCCACAGGAGAAGAAAAGCTATGGATACCATCAAAATTAATAAAGATTCAGTGTGAAAAAAGAAACCTCTTGAGAAAGAGAAATGATGGCTCATTCATAGAGGTGACAATCATACAGGTGGTATGGAAACCTAATAATGGTTGGGGCAGTGTTCTGTTCTTGTCTTTGAAGGAAAATACTAATTTTTAAAAAGTCAAGAGACCTTGGACAGTTAGATGCCTAAAGTGGACCACCAAGCAAAGATAATTATGACTTAACAGGACAGGTCCACTGCTGAATAGAAGAATAATTGTGAGTCACTTAAAAATCAAAGCTGACTTTGGAGTTGAATGATGGTTCTACCCTTCCCTAAATCCAAGCAAGTTGTTAAAAGAAAAATTCAGAATTTCTGTATCATGTCAGGAGCCATCTGGTAGGTGACAGAAAGAAGAAAGAATTTAGAAAAAAATTTACTTTCCTTCATATTTGTCTATATCAACCTTTCATTGAATATATGTCTATATAAATAATGTTTAAGTTTTCCACAATGAACAATGAATTTTCCTGCAGTAATCTTTGGAGTTTTCAAGATGGGGCCCCACAGCAACAACTCCAACTGGTTGATATGATGTCATGATATTGATAAGATCGGTTTTGGGTACCAGCTGCTCAAAATGGTTCCAACTTGGTTGCTTAAATGGGACACTTTTTCCACCATTCTGGCCAGAACTTCAAATAGGAGCCTCAGCAAAACCCTAGCAAATACTCAGAAACTATTTGCAATTAAACCAGGCAGTAATCTTGAAATTCAACCATCATTTTACTTTTACAGAATCCCATAGAAAGAACATTGCCCCCATGACAATGTTCTAGAAGTAATTCTAGAAGATGATGTCTCCTTACCCAACACAGTTTGTCCTCAGGGTTAGGGACATCAATAAGGGGTTGATTATAACTGGTATAGGGTTGGGAGTTGGGGTGGAATTTATGTGGGCTCAGGGATCTCTCTGAAAAAAAAAGCATGATTAGATGGGCTAATAGGTATATCAGTATGAACCTACTTAGATTATTAATAATAGTGAATAGAGTGAATACATGTGAGCTATTACTTATAGGCAAGTTACATTGGCATAGATTTTTGTATATTGATACAAATTCAAATATTTGTTATATTGAATACACTCTTTTTTCTGTTTACAATATTTGTTCACTTAGGCAAAGTTATTTTATTATATTGTATGATTGTATGCTTCTACTTCTACTTAAGGCATTTTGTATATTGATACAATTTTAGGATATATTTATCATATTGCACTATACATTTCTACCTATGATCAAGATACTTATACATTACTTACATTTTGAGGTCATTATCCTCATTTGTTGCAAAGTTGCTTAAAGATTGTTTAATATTCTAATGAAGTCTTTGTCTTTAAGTTATATAGGTATTAAGAATAATAGGTCAATATTCATCTATGTTTGTCATACTTATAGTTAGACTAATCAGGTTCTTTAGATACATACTGATTGTATTCTACATAGATAGGTAATCTTCAACTACTTCAAAGAGCTATAGAACATAGCATTTAAATAACTTAGGGTTTTGTTGCCACGAGACACAATTACTCCTGGCAGCACCAATTCCTGAGAGAATGTTGAGCACCAAAGACACTCCACTTGGAGCTTGT